ACTTCGCACACAAGTGTGCTACACATCATAACTGAGGCACAGGTCGCGGCTGGCTCCATGATATTTCAGCAATTCAATCTCGAAGCAGGACATGACCAAAATCACAGAGGGAATTCTGCCTCAGAGCTGAGACCATGGTCTTTGTGAGTCTGGTCAGCCCTGCCGAAGGATCCGAAGGCTGCAAGTCTACCACGAAGGCATGACCGTGTTAAAGAGAGACAATCGCGAATAACCGAGAAGGTGACTGTGTCTAGAAAATGGCATGACATGACTCGGTGTCTTTCATGGACTTCTACTAGCCGACACAATGCATGTGGCCCGAAAGCCACATTGAGCACATCGAACGTGAGCTTTAAAGTGAAAGGAGAGTCGCCTGCGCCTGCACATATAAGAGAAGCATAGATTCTTGCACAACGAGCTAGCACGGGAAATTGGCCCAAATCTTGCGTAACTGGGTCTTTTTGCCAGCGCGAGCACAGATGAGGGCGTCGGACATATGGAGAAGCTGCGGGTGTAATGACCCAAGACAAGAGGTGTGCGCAACTTTGAGAATTTCTGCCGGAAACCTGTCCGGACCTGGCACCTGGCACCGTAGAAGCGCACAGAAATATACTAGGTACTTCCATAGTAAGGTTTATCGGCTTCTCGGAGAACCGGTTCTGTCTGTGAAGCTTTCCAAACTTGCTGCGCAAAATGATCCACAAAGGTGTGGAAAAGTCTTACGCACGGGCCTGTCGGCAGATGTGCTCCTCGCGCGTGAGTCTGCTTCGACACCTGGTCCGGGAGACACGAAACAGAAGAAAAAAAGGCAGGCTGATGCTCCTTGCGGATGCAACCACCGCTAAAGAGAGCGATTGTCATGTTGAGACAACGTAACTAATCAAGGGTAAAACCATGTTGCACGCAGCTCCTGCAAGTAAAGCTCTCGGCGTGTGCCTGTAGCTTTTGCCCATCATTCCGCGGGCATGAAATTCGAAACTACCGTAGAGCTCCTTCAGACGCTTCCTGGCATCAAGGCAACCAAGCATCTGCCACCAAGACCACGGGAAACACCAGACGGCAGTACGATCCAGAATGTACCGTGCGAAGATTTCGCAAGAATGCCTGTCGCATTTGCGTCTCCAAAACACGAGCAGCAAACGAAGTGCCAGTGCCTCCGGTGCATGTCGATCCCGCCTAGGTTGAGCTATGATGCTGCATTGACAAAAGAAAACCATGCCGGAGATCTCAGCTCTGAGTACTGTTCAGAAAACGCAAAGCGTCTGTCACCAGCTCTGTCAGCTCTGGAACACCCATCGCCTGCGGAGTCACCACCAGGTTAGACTTTTCCACGGTAGAGGACGCCAAAGGGCAACTTCACAAGCCGAGTTGCATTGCCCGGGCCATAAAGGCCATGCCTCGCAAGAAGAGCTCGCCACCAGCCTCTTAGTCTTATCGCACACACTCTGCAAGTGCTTCGCTAGTCACACGGTCTACAAGTGCCTTGATGGCTCCGAAGCGGGCTCTGGTCGTCCTGCTCAGCTTCTGCGCTGCAGAGGCTCGTGAGCGATCTCAGATGCTTCCACCTGGCCTGGACCTGAGCTGTGGAGCCCAAGAGTTGGACGGCCGGATCCAGATTCAGAAGCTCCTCTCGGGCTGAACCAGCTATCTCCCTCCCTCCATCAGGCTCGGTCCTCCCAGCGAACGGATGGTCCCAAATGCCTGAGAGCAGACAAAGGTTTCGAATATTCCGAGCCCGTGGCCATCACTGTTCCCCCTCTTTCTCTTCTTCTATAGGTCTCAAAGCCGGGTTCGACTAGGCCCAGGGCAGTCTTGCGAGGAGCTGTTGGCAGGTTGCCTGCGGGCGTGGCGAGCAGCAGAGTCTGCAAGAGGTCAGCAAGGCTATCGATGCCTCCACGGCCCCGAGCTCGCTGAGCACACCGTTGAATGCCAGGAAGCAGGCATCCTCCGGACGGATCAATTCCCAGTGCGGATTAGACAGCCTGGCATGCCATTTGGCTGCCTGCATGGGGCTTTGGAAGTCATTATAGGGAGGTGGAGCTGCTCAGGAGAGGGGTCGACGCTATCCATGGCCAAAGTTAGGGAAGTGGGCCTTACTCGGCCTTTTTCCAGATTGCATGTCAGGAGTCCCGGATTCTGGCCAGGCTGAAGCCTCACATCCGACCTCGCCTCGAGCATCCTCAAGACAGCTTGGCGGACCAAGGCTTCGCCTGCGCTGCGAGCCCCGCGCCCTGTGATGATCTTGAGACTTTGGACTTCCGGGTCCGGCATGCCTTTCAAATCGTCCAGCGCAGTCTCCACTGCCAGCTCTGCAACCACCACCGGCAGGTTGTGCAAGTCCAAAGTCGTTAAGTTTCTCTCTGCTTTATCCTTGAACATCTGGTGAGCAAGGGCACGTTGACCTCCACTGCAAAGGGCAACCATGATCGTCATGTGGTCTACCTCATTGATCTTGCTGGTTGGAATCTGGTGAAAAATGCTGAGAGCCATCTCCCACAATGCTACTTGGCCAAGTGTGGAGATGGTAGCACTCAAGACCGTGGCTTCGTTACCAACTGCGACCTTTCTTTCGGGATGCAACAAGAGACACACACATAGACACACACACACACACACACCTGCCGTTGTATGAAACTCCAGCCTCGGATTCTTCTGCCAGCAGAGTCTCCTCTAAGCCTGACCAGAACAGTGCCAGAGCGGTCTCCCAGATCGACGAGGAGCGAAGTTCGGCCACACTCTTGCCACTCGCCTCCAAGAAAACCAAGCCACTTTTGCATGCACCGATTGCTGCACTGAAGCGGTAGCTTGGAGGAAACTCAAACTTGCCCGGCAGCTTCTCCAAGACGAGTTGCAAAGCCCTTTGCCATTCACCGGCTTCACCACAACCGTCAGCTGCCGCGAAGTAATGCTGCCAGGAGATGTGCTCATTAGCCCACTCCAACTCAGAAAGCAAGGCACAAGCCTGTTGCCAGCGAAGGGCCTTGCCCAGAGCATGAAGGGCATTGACCATGTTTGCCGCGTGCGGGCGGAATCCCCATTGCCCGGGCATCGTCCAAAACAGATGCACTGCCAATTCCCATGCAGAGCCTCTAGCACAAGCTGATAAAATTGAGGTTAAGCAGACTGCTGTTGGGCGCTGCATCTCGCTTAGCAAGTGCAGGGCATCGGCCCACTTGTGGGAGCGATCACAAAGTGCGATAGCTGCGCCATATGTGATACCGTCAGGACTCAGCTGCTGGTGATGGAGTTGCCGCCAGACCGTCTTGAAGTTCATGTCGGATTCAACTGAATAGCGCGCTGATGCCTGGAGAACCGCATTGTATGCAAAGATATCCCACTCCAGACACCGATGTCTAGCTGCCTCCAGCACCTTCAGAGCTGCGCCCCATGAGTGAGCCCTTGAGCACACACCTGCAGCGATTGTAAAGATCTGCATGTCCGGCTGCAACCGTGAGCGACTGGCTTCTTCCAGGAGGCTCAAGGCTTCCGGCCATCCAGGCAAGCTCGAGCTCGTGCTGAACACAGATGGCACAGGCACAGACAGAGCTGCCAGTTTAAAGCTCTCCAAGTTGGCGGGTGGCAGCTGCAGCGTCCCCAGCCGAGCCCCGGCCTTGTCGAGAAGCTTCAATGCACTCCTGGCTTGCTGACCATGCCCATACGCAGATATAGCTATGTTTAGAAGCTCCGTGTCGAGAGCTCGTCCAGCATGTGCAAGTTGCCAAAGCAAATCTGTAGCTTCTGACCAAAGCTGCCGTTTGACTAAAGTTCTGAGGGACAAATAGTAGTAGCGAGGAGAAGTTCTCTTGTCATTGATCTTCGACAGCGTCTCTTCGAAGCATTGCTTGGACCATTTGGACGCGATTCTTACGATGTGCTGTTTGCGAGCACTTCTGCAGCCCTCAATTAGCGCGGCATAAGACGAAGCATCAGGCGTCACCGTACGTTGCATATCAATAAACAGATCCAGGGCTGCCTCCCACTGATGAGCCGCAGCGTAGGCCCCCAAAACCAAGTTGAAGGAGACCAAGTCCAGCAGCGGGCGGCTATCTGACTGTAGCGCTCCACGCAAAGCCGCATCTTGCAGAATCGCCGCAGCTTTTGACCACAGGCTGAGACGTTCACAGGCAGAGAGAGCTGCATTGTGCAGCAGCTTTCCTACAACAGGCCGATCAGCCTGAATCGATGTGTTCCCTGCGCTTCCTTGTCTCCAAGCATCGTATTGGAAGATAACCTCTTCGTCGTTCTGTTGTCTAGAAGCTGCCAGAATGCAGTCTGGGTGTCCCAGTTGGGAAGACCGTCTGCAATGCACCCAGCTCGGTACGTCCTTGACTGGTGCCACTCCCCGTCTCGCAAGCGATCTCAGAATAATGGATCGTGGCATTTATACCTGCGCGAGGCATGCCTTCCAAGAATCCTCTGCTGTGCCTCATGGCAAGGTGATGACCCCACTGCCAGGATGGTGGCAAAACACTGGGATGCATCAAAACACTCCAGCCCCGCTGAAGCCGTCCTGCTCTCGTCAAGCTACAATGCCCCAAACATATATTTAGCTGGGGTCCTCTGGTCGGGTTCCCGAACATGCCCTTGCATAACACACAAGCAGAAACGAGCAGCCTTCTTCTCCCCATCAGCGAAGAACTGATCCTTAGCAGCAACATCGTGCGGCAGCGAGTCTGCCTCTCGTCTGCAGGAAAAGACGTGTCGAATTAGGTCCCGACCGTGTCTGCTTGTGTGGATGTCCTACCAGGTTTGAAATGCGCCACGTTGATCCGGCTCCAGCTCGGCTTGCAGCTTGCATGGCTGCGTGATCTGTCCCTCGCGGCGGAAGTTGTCCGGCAGCAGTCTGCCTTAAATGGCACCGCGCGACAGCACGCCTCGCCCTTACGGCCTTAGGGTCTCACTGCAACAAAGCCAAGCCGGGCACTCGCTGAACGGCTCCTTGGCCGCACCTCGCTTCGATCGTCTCCGACTTCACTAACCCACACATTCCGGATTCCAGCTTGCACCTGAAACCGGTCGCTTCGGAGGAAGCACGGCAGGACCAGTCCTAGGCAGATGCTGACCAGACGCGGCATCCGAATTTTGGCTGCTCTGGCCGTGCCTATGGGATTTCACAGCTCCATGGGAGGCGGCGCGTCGAACACCGGGCCCGCCTGACACCGCAACCCACGGCCTGCTATCCAACTGCTCCTGCACTTCTTCTAGAAATCCCGCCTGGAGCGTTCCCCGCAGGATGGAGAATTGTCCTCATGTCTCGACCCATGCACACTTACCGCCGAAGACACTGGAAGGCCGTCCTTGGAAACGTCGGAACCGCTCGGAGGCCTGCGAGAAGGGCTCAGAAGCTGAATGTTGGCACATGATCCCGTCATTGCCATCGCCTTCTAGTATACCTCCAGGAGTTGCAAGGCCTTTGCCAGACCTGACAAAACAATAATATGGCGCACTCACATCACACACAAGTCCTGCTCTCTCGGTTTCCCACGGCACTGCCCGAGGCGTGACCAAGACCTGAACCTCGCGTCAAGATGTGAAACACTTGCCGGCTGCTTTCGACACAGCAATTGATGCGAGGCCACCGCAGGGCTTTGGGCTTTAGGAACATTTGTTGAAGCACGCGGCGTTGCGTGACGAACGATGACCTGCAAAACATTGAATTTCAACCGGAATCTTTCCATAATTGCTCGTTCGTGAACAGACACTGAGGATACAACCGTGCGAGGTGACAGGCATTTTTGAGGGCTTGGTGCTGCAGCCTCAAGAATGCTTCAATTCGCCAACACGAACTACAACACGACAAATCGCACAGAATCGCACCTTTACAAAGAAAGCACCGTCCGGCCAGCGTTCACAAAAACCACACGTAGCACTCTGCAGGTTAGACATCAAGAAAGACTATCAACAAATTAAAGGATCAAAACAAATACTTTCGGTGTCGAAAAACCATCCTATTTTATAAGCAAGATAGAAAGGAGGCAGGGTAACATGTGTTCCAGCCCCCGTTCGATTCCGGAATCCCGCCAGCGCATGGGGAAATATGGGGAAAACATGGGGAAAGCATTTGTCAGTCCAACAGAACCCTCTAGCACTCGGGGTTAATCCTCCTGGCCGTGCGCGAGAATCTTGGCTCCGTGCCTGAAAAGCGCCAATAAGCCAATACTTGGGGGAGTGCCTGTTGGCTGTGGTCCGGAAAACATTCCGGCCGCAATTCCGATGCATCATGTGCCTTAAACACGCCCCCTCAATTGGCGATTCCGATTCATCCTTTATCTTGTGTAATCTTGTGTAAACCCGCCCCCACATTCGGCGACCATCATCGGCGGACCCAACGCCCGCCACCTGAGGGGGTGCTTTGCACGCCGGCATCGCCTTAGTGGGGATGTTCGCCGAGGACATGGGTCCTAGCTCAAAAGCTTTCCAACGTCGAACCGGAGTGCTAGCGGCAAACGCCGTTCCCATGTGTTACTGCGCACACACACACACACGTGTGCTACACAACAATCAAAAAAGAGTGGCAGATAGCGGCAGCATATCATCCAGGTGATTTGTAGTCTCAAGCAGCTTCTTTGGGGAGCTGCGCTGGGAAATCCCTGGATGTCTGAGTCTCACCAGCACAACTGAGCTCAACACACCGACTCCAGAAAGTACAGGAACCTGAGTTGACCCGAAATCAATATCCTACGTAGCTTCGAACTGGGCATCCGGCAGGTGGCAAGCCCACTGGTGACAGAGAACGCTCTCTCCGCGGTGATGTGGCCGGCACGCAACCTTCAGAAGTAAGGGTGCCGTCAGAAGCACTGTAAGCCCTGGAAAGGTTGTAACATCCAAGTGTTGAGCCAGTCGGGAAGGCACCAGCAAAACGTCCCAGATGCGAGCTTTGCGTTCTGGGTGTCGGCTGGCATGCCATTTGGGGACAGGATGGGGTAGCTCCAGGCGGCCTGATATTGGGCATGGATATCATGAACTCCTGAGGTTGACATAGAATCCAACAGAACGGCATTGCCTCGCAGCTGGCGTTGGGGACAGCGAACGTGGCCGCAGCAGCACTGGTGGAGACATCTGCCCCTGAGGGTTCACACACATCTCCGGACCTCCTCGCGGACATGGCGTAGCTGAGATTGGAACTTGCGACAACTGAACCGACTGTCCAGAAGCTGGAGCGACCTCAGCTGACATGGCAACACTCTGACATGTTTTGAAAGCATGCTTGGGCAGCAACAGAACAAATTGTGGGTGAGACAGCTTGTGGAGCTGCATGTGCTGCATAGGCCATCGGCCTTGAGGGAATTTAGAATCTGAACCCTTGGCTAGCAAACCGTGCGAAGTCTGATAACAAAGCGGAAGTCACACCAAAAAATGCATTCGCTACCGGCCTACCCGGCGAGAGCTCTCTGACCTCAGCACTCGCATTTCCAACCATACCGACACGAAAGAGAAAATGTGGCAGCCAAGCCACAACGACTACTTGGCCAGGAGGCCTGGCAGCCTCAAAATGAAGCGTGCATGTTCAGGCCACTCAACTACAGCCAACCAAGAGAAGAAAAAACACTCTTGCTTCTGGCCTGAGGACCCGCCATCCCACGATAACATGCAGCTGGGACCTTGGAGCAGCGAACATGCATAGGACTGGTCCAAAGTGGAACCTTCAAGCCCAGAGCTGCGACAGTACGAGGAGTACTGGGCCTCGTCTCGGAAAGCCAAAGCATGAAACATCAGACGAATTTTCTGGAGCTAATCGTTCCCGGCCTGGTCCAGGCAGATTGTGGCGGCAGCATCCTGATGATGGTAAATCTCGAACAAATCTTGCTCCGACAACCCGGCTTAGGCCTTGGGTGAGCAGGCTGTTGATCACATGGCTACACTGAACTCCGTCGTGAAGGATCTTACATGTAGGGTAAGAGCTCCAGCCTTTCTTTGAGTCCCTGTGCACGGTTTCAGTGTCCGCACCGAGCGACATGCTTCCGAGCACTCGTACTACCGCGGCACGGCATCGTTGATAGGCGTGATTATGAGGTTGGGTCGTGCAGAACATGGAGAGGAAGCAAACAATGTGCGATGCGGAACAAATCTGATTTCAATGTTGTTGGAGTCGCACGTGTGCGACGATCAGTTCAGAAAAAGTCATACTACAATTTCTACTGCAGTGCAGGGTGATTGCGATCACGACGGTGCTGACCAATCATGAGGATGCTGCTGATGATGGCGATGATGTTGACGCTGTCAATGACGATCATGATGATGATGATGATGATGATGATGATGGTGACGGTGGTGATGTTTGCGGCGGCGGCGGCGGCGGTGGCGGTGGCGGTGGCTGTGGTATTGAGGATAAAGATGAAGCTGAGCATGATGATAATGATGAGTATGACGGTGATGATCAGCATCTTTACGATCACCTCGACCATCATCATCTCTATCATTTCGTCGGGAAGGCATGTTCGAACGTGGCCCACTCTAAAGCCCAACTGAAACTGCGCACGCTCAGGTCTAGAACGAACATTTGCATAGTAACTTTGCCGAAGATTTCTTCGAATTGGATTTACAAAACTGCACACCGAAAAACAGAACGAACGTGAACTGAACACAATGATTCAAAGATAGGAGTACCCGCATCACTACTCCACTCAATCCGCGCCTGACTGCAGAAGCTGGACCATGCAGGAGTCTACCAGTAGGGTGCCAACTTTGGGCACAAGGTAAGCTGCCTCTTTTCCAGCTGGCAGTTGGAGTCGCTTCATCGTGTGAAATCTACCATGGTTTGCACACTCCTGCCTCCAGTGCTTCCGTATATCCATGCCTGCGCAACAGCTCAGGCTCGTTCGACAAGGAACTTGTAACTTTACATGACGGTTGACCGATACTGGAGCTAGTCACGATCAGTTCCTCAACAATTCAACCTTTCCGGTAAAAATCTCAGAACTGCTCCATCCCAGTCGCGACTTCGCGACTTGGAAGGTGCAATGCGAGTCCGAAACCCTCGTGGTGCTGGCGCAGTACCAATCCACTGACTGCATCAGAGAGTCAGCAGAAGCAAGAGGCTTTTAAGCAACTCACAGCTGGAGTGTGTCTGCGGTGCCCAGCAGGCGACTAACGCTGATGATCGCTGAAAGCCAAGGTAAAATTTAAGTAGGCAGCGGCATCGTGACGCCTTCTCTAAGCTTCAATTACACTAACTACACATCTCGCATGTGACGATTTGATTTCGGGACGGGCCTGAGGCAAGGGTGGACGCTCCAGCACTCCTGCAGTTGAATCAGTATGACTCAGCAGACAACGGAGCGACGGAGCCGAGCGGTCAAGGATATTCGAGTCCCGAGGCCTAATGCTCTTCTCGATGGCTCTTGCACCGGAGCTTTCACAGAGCTCGAATTCGCGGAGTTCGCGGCATCGGGAGTCCTGCGACACCGCTTACATCATCAGCCCAAGGATACCTCCCCGACAGCTGGCCAGCATCTGTCGTGCCCAAGACACCCTTAGACTCATTTCGATAGTTTCGAAAGTGAAGGGCCGGCTGTTTTCTTATCCACAGCTTGGAGTACAAAACGCCGGTGCAGCTAGCGATTATGGCATGTTGTTCACCTCATCTGTTTCCGTAAAACTGTCATTCTTCTGAGTTCGCAGTGGCGTCGGACATCATACAGACGCGCTGCTCCTCCCAACTCATCACTGTTGAAGCGAACATCTTGCCGTCTTCAGGCTTATTATCTGCAAACATTGCTGGGCCTCGAAGCTCAAACCTGGTTGCAAAACATGCTTGCTTCTGCGGCTTGCGAAGTCATTTATTGCAACACAGACGCAAGCACCGAATCCTCTGCGGATGCAGGGGTTCGACGTCCGCCCAAATTGGCAAAATGCCCCGTGTAGCAACAATAGACTGATCTCACTGGCCCGGGTCGTCCTTTCAGGGGGTTCCGCCTTGTCTTGCGAATCCATCTTCCAGGGCATGCTCAGATTGCAGCTTGGGCTGTAGTACTAGAACTGCTTGATTATGGCCTTGTTGTTTGATTGTCTGCTCCCTAATAATTCAAACTACGTGACATTCTTCAAAACAACTGCTTGAGCTTGACATGAATGCCTTCTTAAGCCGGCGTGTGCCTATCACCAAGGGTATTGCATCTCGTCGCACGGTCGCATTGGTTGAGTGGCTTCGTCTGCAGGTGCAGAAGCAGGAGCAAACTTTATCACGAAACGATACCTGTCAGGTTGGCGTGTGGGTAACCTGTACACCAGGCGTGGGACCGACCAAAGTGGACAGAATCTGATCCATTGCTTGTACCATACAGTCTGTGTCAGCGATAGAAAAACACATTGGCGGCTTGATGACGAGAACATTATCATGCGGCCCGTCGATGCTCATCAACACCCTGTGTTCGCTCTTCATGCGTGAGCAGATCTCGGAAGTCTCTGCAGTTGCTGGCTCGAGCGTGTCGCGATTCCGGACAAACTCGATTCCTACGAAAAGGCCGCGACCTCTGACGTCACCAATAAGCTCATGCTTTGTTGAAAGCTGCCGAATCTGCTCGCAAATATACTTGCCAACCTTGGCAGCGTTGTCTTGCAGCCCCTCCCGTCGCATGACTTCCAGTACAGCCAAGCCAGCAGCACAACAAACCGGATTGCCACCAAAAGTATTGAAATACTCCAAACCGTTGTGGAAAGCATCAGACACTTCCTTCGTGGTTACCACTGCAGCCAGGGGCATGCCATTTCCGAAGGGCTTGCCCATTGTCACGATGTCCGGCACAACACCTTGTTCTTCAAATGCCCAGAAATAGTCACCAAAGCGCCCAAAGCCAACCTGCACTTCGTCAGCAACACAGACACCTCCCGCTTGACGCACTGCCCGGTATGCTGCTTGCAAGTAGCCCTTGGGGGGCAATATGACACCACCCACAGACATGCCGGACTCAACGAAGAAAGCTGCAACGTTCCCCGCAGTTTTGCAGGCTGCTGCAACAGCTGAGGCGTACTGCTCTGCGGCATCCGGCCCGCGGTGAGGGCCACGGTAAGTATCTGGACACGGCACCTGGCAGATCTGGCAGGCACATGCAGCCAGGTAAAGAATGTAGAGAACCTGCACCGCTCTTGACGGTGCTCTGCGTTTTGACACAACATGCAAACGCTGACATGCAGTCATCACCATTACTCATCGCTTGGCATGTTGATCCAACTTTCACCATCATTCTGCAGCACTGTGGGGAATAAAGTCACAGAAATCATGGCAGGAACTGGTGCCTCCGTTCGTGCTCGTCGTGAAGACCCAAAGTGGCAATCACAGTTCCACATGTGAGCGCTGCACCCATTCATATAATCAGTTGCAGCTTTTACGTATGCTTCTGCTGTTGCAGTCCTGAATTGCGGGTGGTTTATGTTCCCATCTGTTTTGGGGGCATGACCTGTGACCTTCCTAGGCGGGCCGTGCCTTGTGGATGTTCGGTCTCGCGCCTTCACCTCCTCTGTGGTCAAACTTGTACGGACTGATCCTGGGCGTCGCGAGCTCTCAACACCGTCCTCTGAGCATGTGGAGTCTCGATTCCACGGGCCAAGTGTTCTGCTCATGCAGCCCACTGCATGTGCAGTCGACCAACAGATCCCCGATGCCTCACTTCCTTCTCAAGCCTTGCTTGCCCCGTTTCGGCATTTCCTCCAAGCCTGACTGCAGAACGCCTCGACTGATTTGGAAGTCTTCAAGGAACATAGGTGACGTTCAATATTGCGAAAGGTGGCACGGAGAAACCTTCTACTGTGTTGGCTTGGTGTTCCGAACCACCTTGGCCCTGCATCAATCGTCATATCGCTGAGGCACATCTGGTGGACACTGGAAACTGATCCCTCATTCGCACAACTACGCAGGTGCAGCAGACAGTCGACAGAGAAGCGTCGTCAGCAGAGAAGCATCTAGGTTATCCGGCGCGGAGAAAACTTGACAGCAGGCTTTCCGATTAGCTGATGCCCTCACCTGATCTGGGGCGATTTGACACAGGAATGGTCGGTGTTCCGATTCAGGCCCTTCCTGTCTGACTGACAGTATTATGCCATTGACCCGAAGAGTGAAAGAGCACCGACCGGTCGCATTCCAAGCCACACATACCCAAGAACCGTTTCAAAAGCACAAACGCACGCCACACAACGGTGGGAGCACCATTATAGAACCCCAGAACGCGTTAAAAGCCGTTTGGGAACTTACACCTCCCGTTGCTTGGATGACATATGGCACCCTACGGCAATAAGCGGTTTATATGAACGGCTGCACGAGCACGTAACGCATCAAGACCCGAGTCGAGACGCGGAACACGCTCCAGGCGTGGCTCCGACCTCTCCGTGTCTACTCTTCAAGGCCATGACGTGATAAGGCAGCAGTCTTCATGTTGTCCAGACTGTTCTCGCATCCGCAAGGCATTGGACTTTCAGGGGGTCAGGTCAGTTTTGACGCTTCTGCCTATCGGGTGTCCGTGGCGTCTAGCTGGGATCCACAAAAAACGAACTGTGGAACGTTTGTTCAGCCCCTTTTCTTTTTCAACAGAGGGAGGGGGTGAATCTGGATGCAGTTCGAACCCTGGGTACTCAGCCATCCTCGTTCCTCAAATCGTTCCTCCCTCCCTGCAGCTCGGCAGAAGAGAAGTTCAGTCATGTTTCAGTGTGGAGGGGACGTCACGTCGTTCGATTAGAGTTGAGGAGCACATGGTAGTGGCGGACTTTCCGAAGCCCGCACTTGCAAGTCCAGCTGTGCAATACTGCGTCAAGGCTCTCTATCGTCTGCTGGGTGTGTCCATGATACCTGGCAATCTACGAAACAGAGCAATCCAATCGTATTCTCTCGCTACTCCAAAGCTGGCACCCGTGGTCGACCACGATGATATCGCGAGAGCTTGTCCCTGGATCAGGCATTCATGATACAGGCGAGGAGGAAGAAGTCAATGAGACACCGGCGGGAGAATGCCAGACGCACCGCCAGATCATTCGCCTGGCAATAAGAAGACCAGTGAGGGAAAGAGGGAGGGAGGGACACACGACGGGTCTGAGCACTCCTCGGAGCCAGAGTTCACGAAGAAGCACACCTACAGATTTCAGCTGCAAGAAACACTTTTTCTGATTCCTGGTTTGTATTCGCCTCCAAGCCGCTGCCGGCAGGGAAAGTCTCCGTCAAGCGCTTTGCCAGAAGGCAAAGGTTCGGATGCAAATACCTCTTCAAAACACCAACAACACATCATGGAATCGCTTCGTGATGCTTCGTGTTAGCCCTGCAGGTCACACCTCGTGTTCGTATTGAGTGTTGCAGCCTGCTCTGCGACTGCAGCAGCTACCGTCGGGTGACTGTGTCCCACCTTCGCGTGCGAGCAGGCAGTGCCATCAACAAAAAGATGCTGAAGTTGGCTCAGGGATCGGCGTGGCACACATTGTTTCTCGTGTCGAGGTACCTCACTTTAGACCGTGCTATGACCTTAGAGCGTGGTGCAGGACTGGCAAGGGCACGAGTTGCCTTCCTGATCATACAAGTGGCTGCCCTGGCCACGAACGATGAGCAGCCTGCGACATCATGCACTGAGAGGTGAGATTGCGAGTGAAAGGGAAGTGAGCTTTGGCCCTGGCGGATCTGTGTTAGCATAGGAGACGCTTTGAGCAGGGCAAAAATGCTTCTTGCGCAACTGCCACACCTCATCCTTGCAAGCACAGGAACCTTCTATAAAGGGCTGCAAAAGCCTACAGGATCGGTTCTGGCACCTTGCTTAACGCCGTGGCCTCCGTATCCTGCATGCACGGCTTCTATGGTCTGAACGCCATCTACTGTCAGTCATAACTTGAGCCTGCGACCGCATACTCAGAAGAGCGCCCATGGCTAGTTAGCCACGTCAGGTCACATTATGGCTTTCCACGATGACAGCCTATCGCAGCAAAGTAAGCGGGTCTGGCATTTGTGGCGTCAGCTAGCACACTAAAACGCTGACAACATACAGTCGGAGCCGACAGCATAATGCGTGTCCATGCAAATCCAGTGGCGTTTGAACTGAACTCAGAAATCTGGCTCTGGCTACCACGTTCACAATGCAGATGAAGGCTCGAACCAATCCAGCTGAGCATACACGTCTGCAAGTGACTCGATTCGCAGGATTCATGCAGGAAGCCCTCGATCTATTCGTAGAGTCCCCAGGCATAATTATGTTGATGGCATTTATAAGCCTCGCCTCAATCATAAAAATCGACCCCCCAGAAATAGAAATCAATTATCAAACCCCCTCAAAATTATGAAACCAAATTTGATGGCTGTTTTCTTATGGTTTGTAGCCTCGGTCTTTCAGAGATTTGCTTCAGTTAGAGGCAGGACGGAGCAGAGATAAACTGCAATTAGCAGGACCGCTATTGCAGAGAGACAGAATCCGCAATTAAAACGACCGCTGCAGTATTTCAGAAAGCGAGAGACAAAAAACTGCAATTTGTACGACCGCTGCAGTGTTGCAGAGAATGGAAAAATCACTGCAGAGCTTTGCTTCAATCAGAGGCAGGACGGCGCAGAGAGAAACTGCAATACTGCGACCGGTGCAGTATTGCAGAAAGAGAAAGAGCACTGCAGAGCTTTGATTCAATCACGGGCCTGACAGAGCAGAGAGGGACCGCAGATTTAGAGTGCCTCAGCTGCCATGCCTTCCTTAGTACAATTCCTTATTCCCGGAGCAAAAATCAATCCCTCCTGCTCAGTTTAAACACCCCTCAATGACAAAACCCGCCGGGGAGAGCCCAGGAAAAGGAAACCAAGCTATAGAAGCCAAGCCGTTGATCGGGAAAGCTCTACTTTAGAAGCCACAGGAATCCAAAATCGCAGGTTTAAAAGGCTGCAGAAACCATGCTTTCCTTAATGAAACTCCTTATGTCCATCCCTCTTGATGGAGTACTAACAAGCCGGCATCCTCCTCAAGTATAATTATAACCCCCCCCCACAGTTGTAAACTCGCCCCAGGGCGGGCCATGTGGTGGTGCCTGCAGCAGCCAGGAGAAGGAAACCAATTCCTTCTTCCCGGAGCAAAAACTCAATCCGTCCTGATGCAGTACTAATACGCCAGCGTTCTCCTCAATCATAAACCCGCCTCAAGTATAAGCCGTCCCGGGGAGGGCCTTGTTGTGGTGCTTCCAGCAGCTAGGACAAGGAAACCAAGCTTTAGAAGCCGAGCCGTTCATTGTCGATTGACAGCACGCTTTGGAAACCAAGCTCTTGACCGCGAAAGTTTTGCTTTAGAAACCAGAGGATTCCAAAGCCGCAGATTTAAGGGGCCACAGATTTTAGTAAAATTCCTTAAGACCAGGTTGAAAGTTCGCGGGAGAGGCGTATTACTGTACTGCTGTATTACAATACTACCGTACTACTGTGGTACTGCACTAGAACATTGCTGTGCCGCTGTACTGTCGTACTGCAGTTCTGCACTAGTCTACTACAGTATGCACTACTGTACTTTACGATTGTACGACGGTACTATCCACTGTAGAATTGTGCTACGGTACTACTGCAGTAGTGCACAGCTGCATTACACTGTACTGCTGTACTACCGTACAGCTCTACTTTTGTGATGCTGCACTACTAACTATACGACTGTTCTGCGACACTACTGCACTACTATACTAAAAATTACTAAAATGCACTGCTGTACAACTGTACTACTATGCTACAGTGCTACCGTACTGATGTAATACCGTGCTATGTACTGGTGTGCTAACATACTATTGTACTAGCATACTAGTGTACTGCTGGACTGCTGTACACTACCGTACCCACTGTACTACTGTACTGTACTACTACTGTACTACTGCACTACTGTACTAGTGCACCGTTGTACTACTGTACTGCGGTACTTCCTTATTATTGAGATCTTCCCTGTACTTGCACAAGCGAAAACCCAGCCCTGCTCACCGAGACCTTCTTTGACATGATTTGCAGAATGGTGGCCGGTAGTCCAGCACAAAATCTAAACATCCAAAAGCACGACAACTAGGGAGGCACACTCGTCCCCCTGGGCCATGACACACTCGCCAGGTCTAGTCGCACAAAATCCCCCCCATCCCCCCCCCATTTTCGAGGGTTGTGGAGGGTGGGAAAAGCGAAAATGGGCCGAAGTCACACTAAGACAGGCCAACATACGTCTTGCCCGCAAGACACACTAGCTAGCCCTGTGAGCACAATTGCTGCCACACATGTACACAAATCACAAACACCTCAACATGGAGTGCAGTACGCTCAGATCTCACCTAGATGCACGCACGCGTGCACCCCGCGTACTACTGTACAGTACTGTGCTACCGTACTACTGCTCACTGCACGACTGCACAACTGTACTATTGTACTACGACGACCGACCCGCCCCCCAATCTTCACCCCGCCTGGGCCTGAAATCAATCAAGGGGTAAGGAATTATTCAAAACTGCTGTTTCGCGGGTGGGGACGTCCAGCCTGGAACACCCACAGCAGTACCTGCGCCCAACGACTACAGTTCCGCATGAGTGCGCGGTCAGAACAACCAATACCCTTACTCGTGGCATCAACATTCAATGCTTTCTACGTGAAAGTGCTAGTACCGTTTCCGAAGCTCCCGAGATGGCCGGTTGGGAAACGACGCCTCTTGAAAGCCTTGGTGTCCATCCGCATGCTGGTGAGACGATAATGATGATGACGGATGACGGATGACGGATGATGGATGATGGATGATGGATGACGATAATGACGACGATGATGAGGATAATGATGATGATGATGATGATGTGACGACGAAGATGAAGATGAAGATGAAGATGACGATGACGATGACGATGAAGATGAAGATGAAGATAATGACGACGACTGGTGATGATGACGGTGCTGATGATGATGACGATGATGATGATGATGATAATGATGATGATGATGGTGACGACAACGATGATGATGATGACGATGATCATCTAGGTTCTAAACAAAATCCGATATGCTTTTCTCATAACCAAAACGAGGAAGGCAGAAAAACTTTACTGCATACCACGCTATATAGTGCTGGGGTAGACAGCGCTTAGACATGGCCTTCTTCCAAACCTTGCCCCAGGATCTCAGACTCTGTCGCTCCAGCGCGACAGAGTCCGATGATGCATGTGCGAAAAGATCCCATCTCCAGAGTTGTGCAAACATGTGCTTGTCCAAACACACACCTTGTCATGCCAGACCCCCCAACACTACTTAGCTTTTGGCCAGTGTACAAGCAGCTTTAAACTTGTAACTAACTTGGGGGCCTTTCGATCGCTGCTGCACTAGTAGTTCGAACATCCTTCATAATTATGGCATGAGTCTTGTTCGATTGCAATCGTGCTACAAAAGAACGACGTTCAATCGTCCAACAAGGAGTTACCCGAGATTTCCGCTCCTCACGCGGCTGCAACATGCAAAGTCAACCCGCATGAAAGCGCTCTAAAACGCTGTGCGACAGGTACTACTTCCCGCAAAAACATCGAACATCTGAACTAAACGAAGAAACACTGCGAACGTAGAATTAGTAGTAGCAGTAGTCCTCGTCGTCGTCGTCGTCGCAGTAGTAGTAGCAGCAGCAGTCGTCGTCGTCGTTGTTGTTGTAGGTAGCAGTAGCGGTAGCGGTAGCAGTAGTAGTAGTAGTAGTAGTAGTAGTAGTAGTAGTAGTAGTAGTAGTCACTCACTCACTCACACTCGCAGCAGTGTCCGAAGTCTGCTCAGCGAAGAGGGCACGCTTTGCGCGGCAGCTGT